CCACCAGGTATTAAATTGTACAAGTGGAACTTCAGATCACCTGGAAAGAACTACATCTATTCGCATCTACCATCTCTTTCTCATACTTCGTCCTACCTTTATCTTCTACCTCCAAGAACAGCAAACAGATTAAATGTGATGCAGATAACAGGTAACACAAAACATTGTCAATCACGTTAATGTCGAAGCACAGATAATTTCAGTGTTGTTTGCTTTATTTGAAACTCTTGCTTGTGTTTCATCCAACATTTCATCTGTCATGAAAGCAATTGTCGCGATAAATTTCTTCATTTGGCTTCGATGAAATCATATTTGGTTTTTAAATCCTGACCTCAGCTGTAGTATTGATGGAGGCACAGCAAATATTGCTGATTGAATTGATCTGCAACTTTTTTTTTGAAAAATTATATTCTGTCGACTGTTTGCATTAAATGCGGTATTGATTTTTTTAAAATTTATTTCAGATTATTATCACTCCTTTTGCTGCATTTTATGACTGATTATTTTCGACTTCACCTGCTTATAACTTCTTAATACTGTTTACAAACAACTTGAATGCGCAGAATTCTGAAGTTATTTCTGATGAAGATCTGGAAAACACTAGCGTTTCACGATACGATAGGATCTAAATGATCGGCTTGATACTGTTAACCACATATTTTCATCTTTTTTTCGTACTATTTCAAAAGTCCTTAAAAATTTTTGAAATAAATTCACAAGACGTATAAAGAAGTACACATATGTGAAGAATACAAATTATATTTAAGCTGGCATATTGAAACTACTGTAACTGAAAATCCTTTATTGATCCGTATGCTTGCAGCATTTGGATGATTGTCATTATTGATCAGGGATTTTTTTGCTAATATAGCATTGGAAATTAAGTTGGTTCGAAATACATCCAACTTTGAACACCGTTACTTCCTGAACACTAACTTCTCTAGCGGTGACAAAATTTCTGATGCAAATGTCATTAAGAGTTCTGTTGACACTTAATATTTATGAATGATCGATGCAGCGTCCTGCACACAATCCGGACATTTAATGGCCAAATTTCTAGACTGTGTTTTCATTCATTGGAAGATGTTGGTAAGTTAAGGTAAAGCCAACAAACGATGAGACGAGATAATTTTTGGAAAATTGCTAAAGTTTATTTATGTTTCCGATTGAAAGTTCTCGAAGTCATCGCTATCGAAGTTAGATTCAATAAAAAGTAAGTGAAAATTTTTGAAGCGGCTGTTAGACACCTGCTGCAATTGTATTCGGAAGCACGATATTAGGTACTAAACAATTTCTATATTCATTTATGCATAAACAATGATGAGTACTTTAGTTTCGGTCATTTTAATAAGCACTCTTTAATAAGCCTAAGACACACGTAATTATTCATGCATCAAGGATGTAAAAATATCTAGATGATAGCTTTTGATACAAAAACTGTGACAAAATTTGGCATTAATCCTATCGGAGTGTTATGTGGAGAGAACGAAGGGGAATTTATAAGTAAAATATTGGACGACGTGTTTCTTTCTTTTTTTTTATAATTTCTATAAATTAAAACTAAAAAGATATGAATGGCACTGAAAGAGTAAATGAGTTATCAACGAATGATGGAAATGGGAACGGTATTTTGGGTTTTGGATGAATTCATTTTCGATATTCATATTTGAACTCATTCTATATGCTACTCAATTTAGGAATACATTGGTCATCGTTGCAGTACTTCTTCAACACTCTTTACATGACGTTGCTAATTATTTTCTTGTATCATTAGCATCTGCTGACTTTTTGGTGACATTTAAATAATTCTCAGAGATTTGGAATTGCCCTTTCTAAGAGAAGTTGTGTGTATAGTTGCTATATTTGAAGGATAATGACAGAATATACATATATCTACCTAAAGTTTTAATAACCTTTGTATACATATATTGAACAAGAAATTATGATCTTTGTTCTAACAAATTCTTGGCGAATTTTGAAGTGAACCAAATATTTAGCCATATCTGGATATCAGTACGGAAACTAAACAACAGAAAACTATCACTTATAAGAAGAGGAGGAAAATATCGGTATTGATTCTAATTGGTGCAAATGGTGTCTTCACAAGAGTTTGCTACTCCTGAAGTAATATAATACAATATTTGTTAACATTTTATATAGCGTTTTATCCCATATCATTTGTTACATATTTTAAGGTATGTTTTCTACTGCTCATGTCGAGAGAAAAAGGAAATGATTGAAATAAGGAAACAGAATTTGAATGGACTTCGATATGCACAGTCTTTCGCCTCCTCTTCACGATATCGTTTCCTTCTTTCTTTCTCTCTATAAAATCCGTTTTGAAAAACTATCAATCAATTCGGTAGGCTTTTTCATGTTCCATTTTATTTTGAAATCTGATTTTTGCACAGATATTTCAGGGCAAATATTATTAAAATAAAGTCCCACAGCTCTCTTTTCACCTCAATACTGCTTTCTCAACTATTTAGGTGCACTTTCTCAGTGAATTTCTCTGTTTACTGGGAAAAAACTGCATTATACATGCAGTCAAAATTGATAGTTTGTTCATCCTTTATGTTTGGTACTTCATCCTTTTCATATACTTAATTCAAGTTCAACAAATATTCTGTCTAATTTTTGCACTTACATTTGAAAAATTTGATAACCCGTGAAAAGAATGTGCTTTTTATATGCAAAATAAAGGTATTACCTCAAATATATGAGGATGAAGTTTTTACTGTTCTTACAACACAGAATTTTAGTTTCAATCTTAGATCTTTGCCTTGTATGATGAAACAGGATTTTATTTTATTTTCGTTTAATTTCCTTTTTGTTTACTTGTTCCTTCTTGATATTTTGGAGAAATTTAAAGTATTTGCAATCCTTCAGATCAAAATCTAAAAACTGTTTTGTATCATAGTAGCTGCAGCAATGCTAGATCGATTACACTTCCACATATTCTGTAAGACAGTTGTTATTTAAGTATTAAAGAATAATTTAGGATTCAATAAATATATAAAGCCGTTTTAGACAAAATCTCTTAACTGCTTGTCTTTCCCTTAGCTTGGAAAGTTTCCCAGGTCAGTTCATACTTCTGGAATTTTGGCTTGGATTATTTCTTTGTAATTTGTATTTGGCCACTATTTTTTGCGCTTTCAACAGCTTCCATATTCAATATTCTTGTTATTTTTATTGAAAAATATTCAAGAATTAAAATTTCCATCAATTTACCAAAGTCTAACACATCGATAGAGTTGCACGTAATGAATTACAGATATATGGCAATAGCATAGCCATTCCTTTATGCAGATCTTACTACCAGTTTGGAAAAAAACCGAAAATAATGATTCCCGCTCTTTGAATTACCTCCGGTATTGCCGATTTACCTAAATTGTTAGGAATAAACAGTTGTGCAGATAATGTCAGTTTGCTGATCTTCCCTAAACTTTGTTAGATGAACTGATTGTTAAAGTGGAGTTATATTGTTGAAGAGTTCTAGCGTATTGGACTCTTGCTGCTTAGTACTGTAACACTTACTGATTCATTCAAACATGCAAAAAAAAAACGCGAAAAAAATGAGACTAGATATCGTTTGATTATTGATATTTAATTCTATCTGAACTTAGACACTGATAGAGAACATTTTTTTTTTTCAGAATGAAGTTATAACCTTAATGAAAACTTCATCACGTATGTGGTTGCAGTAGTATGGATTCACAAATCTTTTCTTTATAATCATATCATCGATATCATCACTCTTTTTATCATGTACAACAACTGCAGTACTTTATATCGTAATACTCTTGTCGGTTACCAACAAAAAGGCAGAAAGGCAAAGAGTGGAAGTAAGAAATTGTCAATCAGTTCAAATGATATTTGTAATGCGTAAATTGGTTGGTTACCATTTCTTTGGAAACAATTCATCACTTCATTTGAAAATTAAAGTATTTTTCTGCACTTTTTTGAGAGATTATGTATAATGCTTCTGTTCATTTGGTAATTTCCCAGAAGTGCATTAACCCTTTGTTACCGCAATTTTCCAGACGTTAAATGCCTCATATTGTATCAAATAAAACTTCAAAATTTGTAGAAAACGTTCATCTGGCTGAGCAGTATGAGAAGCATTTTAAACTTAATCTAGCATTACTTATGTAAATTATATATTTACTTAATTTGTATCCGAAAAAAAAGAATTGTATGGCAAAAATAAGAAATGAAATTAGGCATTCAGGAAGTTCGAAAATTTAGATGATTTGAAATTCTGCAAAGATTTTTTTTTAAAAAAGGAAATTTATTTTTTTTTTTTAAAAAGGAAATTTATCGAATTCAAATCAGATCGAGTAAATATTCATTCAGCTTTTCTAATTCCAATTAAAAAATTTTTGTGGAATAATTGTAGTATAAGAATTTGGCTATAATTTTTATGCAAACTTATTTGCAACAACATTTTATTTTGCAAAAATAAATTATATTTTGCTGGGAATGAAGAGAGGATAATTTCCAACGGATTTCATTATATTATTCAGAAAATTTAAATTTCGCTCCTAAAAAGGCAGCTCAAAGAATATGATTGGTTTAATTGTTTTTATCTGATCAAATATTTATCATTTCATTTTAATTAGTGAGATAGCAGCATGCATAACATAATAAATGATATAGTGATTTCAGATATTTTCAGCATTACTTCCGTTATCTGAGAATAAAAGTATGAAAATCGTTTCTCTGTCTGTCACTCAATTACATTATTGGAGGAAAGCAAGATATAGAACTGAAAATAGAAACAATGTTAGCTTTTTTCTAGAAAATTTCATATTACCTTTTGTACTTTAAATTTTAAAATAATACTATTTGGGAAAAAGTAACCTAATCGTGCTGATGCTTTATTACTAAAAACACTTAACATATGTTCCAGCCTTATTTATTTCCTGAATTCAACTCATCAATTAACTCCTAAATATCCTTAGGAAAGCTTACGGTTGTCAGTAATTTAAAATTTCCTTATTCAATTCATCCAACAAAATTCTATTGATGATTTCTTACCTTATATCGACAACCTTTGTGATTAACAGTGATCACTGCACAACCAATATTGGAATGATAATAAGTAGAATATTTTGGAAGAAATCAAATTATATGCGACATTGCAGGAAAGAAGGTATTACTTCTTATCCTCCCATCAGCAACATGCACTAATTTCTTCTAGAGCTTATAGCAGGTAATAGCTCAAATTGGTTTGATTAAGAATACTGGGCAGCATTCATTAATATAAGTTTTCAAAAATTAAATTAGACATATTCCTCCCAGTTAATACCATGGATGCAATCTCTTTCACCTGAGTTTACATAAAAGTAAGGTTATAAAAAATTTATAAGACATTATCAAAATATTACTTTGTTGGGGAAGATCAAAGAAAAATAAAATATGAGAACCTTTGTAATAATATAATCAGATTACAAGGTTATCTCGACTAATGTTTATTTTTATTACTGTTATAATTGGCATAGGTATTTATGATATTTCTTTAAATATTATATTCTTGAGATTTTGAATTTAAAATTTGCATATTAGATAAGAATTAAATGCTGGACTGAGGTTGGTGCGCGCGCTATACATCACTTCGGACGAGAAACAAACATTGTCAATTCTGAGTGTTGAAGAAAGTTTTTCAGTGACTCTTTGTATTTCTTTGTATTTTTATAATTTTTAACGCTTGTCTACATTCCTAATTTATTGATGGAAAACAACCAGTACAAGTATTAGTGACTTAACAAACAGGTGAAATATGATGGAATTATTAAAAGTTAGAAAATAGTTACACTGATAGTAATCATAGAGGTACTCGTGCTCTGGAAATTAAAACATTAGCGAAAAATGACAATAAATTTGGTCGCAATAGTTGGTTAGTTTAATACTCTTCTTTGGGAAATTTTAAGTCAATTTTAAAGTCGAAATTTAAGTGAATGTTTTTGTTGCTTTGATTTGATGATTACAGCTTAGAAATATGCTTCAATAAAATGTGTCTAATTCGGATCATTTATACCAATGTTCCTGTTTTATCACTTCTATTTTTCACTTAACATACAATCCAAGTATTTGGTAAATATACTCATTTTAATACATTTTAATATAATGTACTCATTTTAATAATATTTTAATAAAGATTAATATTTTAATCCATTTTAATAATTTATATATTCTAATTTAATATTTTTTCTAACATTCCGATTGAGGTAGTAAATTTAAAATATTCTAAATCTTGAATATAAAAAAGTAAAGCTATTCAGATATCTCTTTTTAATAATTTGAAAAAAAGGAAAAAAAAACAACGGAGAAAAAGATCGTTCGACTGCACGTGCATGATATTTGCATGCCCACTCTACTTTTTTTTTGTTTCGTATTTGCAATTTGCATTTTCAGTTCAGCACTAAATTTATTGTTTTACATAATTTTCAAAGAACGAAATTATTGTGCACTGCGAAAACAATGTTAAATTGCCATTCAATTTTTAATTTCCGTATTAACATGTAAACATGGAATAATCGTATGATATCATGGATTTTACTTTTGCGTCTGTGTCCTGTACTTATGTTTGAAGTAATTATCACGTTATTGTTACTTTTGTTTCACGTCACCTTATTGAGGAAACACACCACGTATGGCAGTTTGTTTTCAGAAACGGAAAACTGCTGTAGCAAACGTTTTAACCGATTTATAATTTGTGAACTTAGCTAAATAAAGGTATGAGAATAACAAGATAGTTTAAATTGAAATATTTGTCAGGATTTGATGGAACCGAATGCCGAATTAGAGTATTGCAGTTGCTTCTGGAATAGAAAATTCGCCCTATCGTTTGCTTTCCGAAATGTGCAACCGATAAGACAGACAGGTTCATAATCGACATAACTACTAATCACATTGTTCTGTCTGATGATGATCATTAAAAGTATCCTGGAAGATAAAGGGAGAATTGCGCTTCATGCTGAATATTTCTAATAACATTGAAACATTTCCTTAGAAAATTCATCAAATTCAACTATTGAAGAAAGTATTATAAAATAAGAAGGAAAGTGATATCGAGTTAAAGAATATCTTAAAGCGTCATTAACAAAGTCAAATATATAAAAATAGTAAAATGTGCTTTAAATTTTGAACTTGTATGCCTTGAAGAAATTATGCTAAATAAATCTTGCAATGAACTCAAAAATGTCTTGTGGATTGCAATACAAGGGGAAGTGTAAATTCTCTTCCCAAAATTTTTTCTTTTTTTTTCTTAATATTCATTAAATTGGAAAGATGCATAATGCACTATTACGAACTTCCTACTCAACTTGGATTTTTTTCATATCGGGATCAGAGTAGCATGTTTTAGACTAAGTATGAACCATGAGACGCCTTTCAACTCCAATTGCTCATTAATCATTGTATAATGGAAAGAATAAAAGTTTAGTAGGAATGAAAAGACTCAAATTGTTGTTAACCTTTTGCATCTCATGTGTTCCAAATTGATTAAGTTTAAGAGAAAAAAAGTTCCTCATGATCTACGATCTCAAAATGCTATAACAGTCTTGCAGCAATTCGATTTAAAATCTTTTGTATAAAATCTACATGAAATAAATGAGTCACAAAGTAGCTTGTTGAACTCCTGAGCAAATCATTTGTCTCTTATTTTATTTTCCCAATAACCTTATGACCAGCTGATCCAAACAGCTTTTAACTAATGAAAAACATTCCTATACCTTTATATCTTTATACCGCATTCGGCCATTATGATCTTTGCTGAAGAACATAAACTTTATCCTGTGATATGTTTGAGTTTTTTCTCCAATATCCATGGTATTATGATAGGATTTTGAAAGCTGTGAGAACTCTCTTGATATCCTCCCTCAACTACCATAAAAAATCCAAAAGTCAATTGATTAGTTGCATATAAATGCTGCAAAAGTTTTTGGGTTTGATTAATATTAACTTTGAAAAGACTCTTGCAAATATATCTGAATACTTTATCAAGTGTCAACGAATAGCAAGTTCGATATGGTTCAATTCCCATATGAGTCATTGCGTTGCATTTCTTGTCTTTCACCTCTATCCTTAGCTATTCTTTCTAACTTAGCTCTCAAACATTAATTCAGATATCCTACTCTATTGATCCAAGTTTTCGTGACAATTTTAAATCATCATTACTTGCTCTCGTCATATGGGCTAATTTGAACACTTCCATCTATGTAACAGTTGATATTTCAAAACTGACAGACTGCCAATGATATCACATAAGTTTCTCCAGACTAATAAAATTCAGTTAAATCTTTGATTCAGATTTGAGGTGAAAATCTTTGAATTCCTATAAATCTTCGAACTACCTGTCTTGTTCTGATAGTATATTTAGATGCACCACTAGGTAGTACTATTTTATTTCACACAAGCTTTTATCGAGTAAAACATCAGATCCGAGGAAATTTACTATCGCGTAATAAAATTAATGATCACTCAAAACAGAAAGTAGAATAAACGAAAAATGATGAAAAGTAAGCAATAAAGATATGAAGTAGTACGATGGTATTTTCAGGTTTCCACGCATGCCTTGCTAGTATTAAATTTGTCCCAATAAAATAAATCATGTTATTCAACAGAGCAGTTTTGTAGAGAAATTTTAAAATGAGGAAGTTGAAATGACAACTTTAAGGACAGTAAAGGACAAGCTGTGCAAGATTCGTTTTGTTAGAACTAAATCACCGGAACTTATATCATTTATAACTTTCATGTCCTCAGAGTTGATTTTTAGAACATAAAAATCATCATGAAACAAATGTGGTTATCAAAGTTAGAACTGATAAATACAAATCATTAAGCATAGTAAAGTGTACTCGAGATCGAGAAAGGACAATAACAATACAGTGTTATTGTGAGTGTAATATAACTACTTAATAGTTTAACGAATAATGCTTGGAACGTTTAATGAGCAATGTTGAAAAGCTGAAGAAAAATTCTGTCCTTAAAAAAATTTGTCTTTTACTGCTAAAGTATTTAAAAGAGGAGTCAATTCTTCAAATAATGTTAGAATGGCAGCCAATTCAAATTTAATTAAAACAATCCCTCTTCCGTCTTTGTTTTGCTGCTTTGCGGTAACGACTGAGAGAAGTAAATATCTAAACATAAATAGTACCATTTATATATGGTACTATTCATGTTCACATTCTTTACTGCAACAGTAACAGTGGTAAACAGACGGAACGATAAGTGGGTGTGGATGAAGAAGAAGGAGGGAGTTAGCGGAAAGAGTGAAAAAGATGGGAAGGGGTAAGAGGTGGAGAATTCTAGATGAGCTCAAAATGATGGGTTTGATGGGAACAGAGATGGATGAAGAGCGACTCCAATACTGCTACAATTACAGTATGAGAGTGGAATCCATAGGGCGTGAAATAAAAGGAGCGTTATGGATTGGGATGGTGGTAGGTGGAGCATCTTGGGAAGTGATAGCTTGGAATCCGAAAGCCTGATTTCATATCAGTTTTTGATTTCCCCAGTGATTCAAGGCTTCTCCCAACAGCACAACACGGAACCTCTCTTATCTAGTTCCAGTGCTTCCTATTGCAATTCTTTTCCAACGTCAGTTTTCTTTTTGCGCAAAAATTTGGTTGAAATTGACGAATTAGTTGATCCCGAGAGGCGTGGTTTTTTTTTCTTGTCAACACCAACCAATACATAGGCGAACAAATCCACAAGCTTGGCAAATACATACACACACATGCAAGCACACACACGCACACACACATACACAGACATAGACGGACGCAAATATATGCACAGGATATCCAGGAATCAAGCAATAGTGAGGGAAGTTTTACTGGTTGAATGTTTAAGCGGCTTTTCACGTTTTCCAAGCAACAGCAGCGGTAACATCAGATCGGTACCGTTGACAGGAAAGAATTTCAACAGGGCAGTAAATGTTCTGTATCGAGCGCCAGTATGATGTTTGGTTTCCAAGATGCAACCTTACTAAGACAGATGAAAGACGAACCACTTGGGGCTGCATTACGTACCCAGTGGAATCCGGCAGCAGCAGCAGCAGCAGCCGCAGCAGCAACGGTGGTGGACAGTTCGCCGGTAAGGTGAGCGGTCATATTGATAGGCGTCTGTATATATCTACGCATATCAAGCTTTAAAACTGGAATTGAGTCTGGTGGATAATTGAGGGTGAAAAATGCCGCTGGCAACAGTTAACGCAGTCCCAGTGTCCCTGTGAAGGGACCTCCGTGTCGCCATTAACTCTCTTCCACAACAAAACATATCCCCCTCCACAACTAATTTTAATTTCTTGTTCTAACAATAATTCCCCGTTGGATTTCTCCCCGTCCTACTACTTCGACATGATTATTTCCAGTGGATTCATCTAGAAACCTGAAATTCTCTTATCTATTTTCTTTTCTCACCCTTTTTTTCACTTTTCTGTATTCACACATCCCAAAACTGAAACATTGCAATACCAGCGGGACTCGTATTTCCGAGTATTTCTTTTCTTCCTCCGCCCTATTACAACTCCCACATCCCACCATTTTATCCATATTGAACTTTCTCATCCCACCCAGTGGTTGTTGAATTATTCTTCCATCACAAGGAAACCCTTATTTTTTCCGTTCCTGTATTTCATTATACCATTACATAATGAGCGGATAGTAAATATCATGCATGCAAACTAGGCTTCATTGATTATTTGACTTTCACAATGATAAATGCTCTTCTGAATATTTAAACGCAATTTTGGCAGATTTTTTTTTGAACCAGAACAATTCAAAATAGGATGAGCAACCTCATATTTATATTCGCATAAAAGTTTAAGATAACATCACGTTTCAGTGCCCAATTAGCACGAGCTCATTTCGAGAAGCATCCACCCAATAATTTGCGCAAAAGCAATTTCTTTCATTTCGTCATAGCATTATATGATCGGGCCGGGCAACCGGTAGAAATCGAGAGGACACAATTTGCAGATTTTGTGGAAAAGGAGCGTGAAGTGGACGGACAGGATACTCGGAATGGTATCCATTATCGGTTGTGGCTTGCATATGCTAACGGTCAGTTAATTAACAAATTGTTTATTCAAGTATTTAACTTCGCCCTGATTTATAACAATCAAAATTTTTATATTGATTGTAATTTATCTATCAAACTTTTAAACATTTTTAGGTTTACGCGCAGAGCAAGATCTGTATGTTCGTCTCGTTGACAGCGTTTCCAAGCAGGTATGAGCCATATTGATTTAGCAATTTAAATTCAAATTTTTAAAAAAAATTCAAGGCTTCTTGGTGCATTACATTTTGAAGCAACCGCAATATCATGTTTATAAATATTTGTGTGGGAAGCATATGTTAACAGGTGGTGCAACGATTTCAGCCTCTTTTGACAACGTAAAAACAATTTAATTACTGCTGTGTAGCTTTCAGTGGTAAAAAAATGTCACACATACTATTAATTGTAACTGTAGCATATTTCCTACTATTTTGTCATTTATCTGTGCCATTTTTAGCAACAAGTTGTCACTTTCATAAAGGATAAGTATTCTTAAGCGAAATGATTTTTTCTCTTATCTAAATATTGTAGGCTAATGTTGTCACCAAATGCAAACCTCAAAACATTCGAATTTTCTAAATATTTTATTGGATTGGACCTGAATAAGATATATAATAACATTGAAAATCGAAACAAAATATTGATTTGGACTATTGCTATGCTTGACGATTTTTATCTAATTTTTTTTTCTTCTTTTAAATGTCTGAAGTTTACCGCCACTCTGATTGTCGCACAAAATCTAAAAGATATTCGAAATTTTCTCAATTGTATTCTCTGTATCCTTTTTTACCTAAGTTTGTAATATATCAATTAGAACTTGGAAGGTTTCTTTGATAAATTGTTGTCGTGGTTTTCTTATATTTAACATTGATAGTTTGTAAATTCTGCATGTAATTCTCGTTTTCATACTTTTTTAGCAATATTTACTTTTTGTAAGCAATCTTATACTACCCATTGTCTACTGCTCACACTAAAACTCGTTTATTTTATCATATAATATGTGTTTAAGAATCATACAGCACCATTTTCTCACAGTTTGTGATCATTTTATAGGCTATAGCTTACGAGGGACAAGATAAGAATCCTGAAATGTGTCGCGTATTGCTAACTCATGAAGTAATGTGCAGGTATTTTTTTTATCCGATTAATTTCTGTAATCATGATAGATAATTTGAATGTTCGAAATGTGAATGAAATATTTAATATTTGTAGTCGTTGCTGTGAGAAGAAAAGTTGTGGCAATCGTAATGAGACACCCTCTGATCCGGTTATTATTGACAGGTATGTATTATTTTACTTGTATTTAACACAACACCTCTAGCCATAATTAGTCCACTTGCTGGACCATTATTCGTCCTACTGTAACTAACACTCCTCCATTTTGTTTTCATTCTTCCAATGCTTCCATTTTGAATGATCTTGTCTACTGGTAACCAGCCAATTAATTAATTAATTAGGTATGATTAATATCCTTCATTTTGATGCCTATTTTGCTTATGTCAATTTTGAAAAGAATCAAATACCAGTAGAAGTAATCGCACTAATTGATACATACATTTAGCTGATAGGAGTCTCAATTTTTCCTACTTTTGTTGGACAAAATTAAAAGATTTAGGGTTATCTATTTGGAAGGCTGCAAATAGGGGATGAAAATTCTTAAGCTTTTATGACCGGGGTTTGGTAACATAAAAGTGTATGAATGCTCGTTGACCAGGATAGAAGACCACTGAGCTAAATTAGATTTTGCCATCCTGGGATGGATATTTATGGGTTTGAGTGAGGCAAATCGAAAATGAAGCCTAGTATGATACCAAATAAATCCCTTAATATTGTTTGTTCATCTAATCTTCTTCCACTACTCGACAACATTCCAAAATCTTTGAAGAACCGATTTTGCACAGTTATTTATTAGTGCAATTCGTACCATAATTTCCACCTTCATTCCACTTAATGAAATCAAATAAGAAATAAATTAGTAAATAAATTTAGTTGCGACGAAAATTTCACTTGGCATTCTTCAAAGCTTCCAATCTATTGCCATATTTTAAAACAGTTCACAATTGAAACAAGAGAATGAATCTGTAAATCACTATTATTTTTAAACAATATTGTTAAACAGGTACCACTGCTCACAAAAAAAAAAAAAAAAAAAATGTAATTTTTTTAAAGATTGTAAATAAACTCCTTGCAATGGAAGATAATATGTGAACTACATATAAAATAAAGTAACAAACTGC